TCCTGAATTCTGAATGTATTATGCACTCAAAAATTAAAATAAAAGATGTAAAGGATAATAAACAGTAACAAAGCAATGCTATTTTTCACAGGGAATCTTAATCTGAGATTTAGGGACACTTCGGGAAACATCCTTTAAACCTCTGAAATTTTCTTCAAAAAATGTGCATTTATCTCAGAAGAGAGTTTATAGTTTTCATGAGAATCTCAAGTGGCTAAAGGACACCTAATATAATAAGAACCACTTCCCTAAAACAAACACTAAGTAATAATCTTAGCAGTTGGTATTTATGGCACATTACCCTTATGGATTAACAATACCAGGGTATTTCAAAAAGTTAGGAGGATGGGAGGGAAAGTAGTGGACTAACTGGTACAAAGCTATAGGTAGATAGGAAGAATACGTTTTGGTGTTCTAGGCTGACTAGAGCTAATATTATGTTGTATATTTCTAAATAGCTAGAAAAGAGGATTGACTGTAATCACCACAAAGAAAAAATAAATGGTCAGGGGATGAATATGCTATCTACCCTAAGTGAATCATTGCACAATATACGCAATATTGAAACAACGCACTGTACCCCACAAATATGTACAACTAAATTTTTTTAAAAATTCATGGAAAGATTCACATTATCTTTTAATTCTATTACCAATAACTTTTTGAAGTACCCTCATTCATAGGATGATATTTAAAATTTGAGTACTTTAAAAAATGTATTAATAAATAACTAAGTTAATATGTAGTTAAGAACATTCTGTTTGTATCAACTCTTCTTCCAACCTTTTGGAAATGAATGATATGTCCCAAGGGGTCTTAAATGAGTCAGACCACAGAATTCATAGAATGAAAGGCAAACAAATAACTATCATAGTCCCTTACAAGTTACCTTTGATGTACTGGTCCACATGTAATATAGTTATTGGTGATATTTTGAAAGAGTTTAGTTCTTTCTCTATAGGTCATGAACATGTATTATATCTCTTTTAATAATATACATTGACAGCAAGTTAGTATTATAAAGAGGTTAACAGGAAGAGCTACTAGTCATGTGTGGCATTAGGTAATTTTCTTTTTAAGCTTCAGTTTCCTTAACTGTAAAATAGGAATAAAAATACTTCTTAAAACTGCTCCCACAAGAATATACCTGACTAAGGAAAGCACTTGATAAATGTCAGCTATTACCTCTACTAGCCCTAATTCAGTGCTTTGCATACAGCAGGTTAAAAATAAAGAAAAATATGCTGAATTCTGAGACATCAGTTAATCCAAACCTTGACCATTTTAGTTATGAAACTATTCATTTTTAAAATTGCCAAAGAATTTCAAATCTTGTCTTGGATTCCCTTTGCATTATATTCCACATTGGCATATTGATACGGTCTTAAAGATTTCAAAACAACTAAGTTACTCTTATACAGG